CTGACCGGATGCCCTCATCTGACCTCTGAGAGCATCAGGCACTCATGTGGTACACATGCATACATGTAGGCAAAACACACAAAATAAAATGAATTAATTTAAAAGAATTCTTGGTAATACAAATGAAATAATATCAAGTGCTCAAGAAAAAAAAAATCCTCCTTGACATCTCTGACACTGCTTTTTCAGTAGCAACGTCATTTCTCAGTTTGGTAGTGTCTTCTAGATTAGTTTGGAGTGTTTGTGACTATCCACTTAGTATTATCTTCCCCATATGTCTGTATCATATTCATAAGTATTATTTTATAACTTAATTTCCCAAAAGCATTATCCTGGGTGTATGTTTTTGTTCCAGTTCTTTCTCACTCTTGTTAACTAGTAGCAGGGGAAACATGATTGACTTAATCTTCTACTGTAGTGGATATCTAGAGCCACCTCCATTCTTGTTCTTTTGTCATCTCAGATAGCATCACAGACATTATCCTTTGACATACTGTGTGTTTGTTCAAGTATTTCCCCAGGATAGCTGTGTAAAACTGTTCTCGACTTTTCTAGGTATTAAAATATTTTAATTTACCATATATGACTTAGGTTAGATTTTCTTCGTTTTCTATATTTAATATTTTAAATTCATACTTAAAGTATAGATTTTTATCTTATTAAAACAGTCTTTTACTTTGAAGATGATTGTTGAAGCCTTTCTTTAATATTTGTTGTGTTAACATTGTGCCAAGACTTTATAAAGCTTTATCTCAAGGTTTCTCAGTAAATAAAAACTCTATGTGAGGAGGCATTACATTGCCATCCTAGGGTTTGCAATGTAGGAAGCAGGCAGAGGAGAGGTGATGGTAATGCCCAGGTTGGAGTAGTTCAGTCCAGAGTTTAATTTCTTAATAACCCATCTTTTTGTTCCTGGCCTTCACTTTTCATGTACACGCCTACTTGTCAGTCTTGTCAGCCTTACGCTTACTCTTCTAGGCCTCAGTGTTTTATAAATGCTTCATTTCTCCCTGGAGCCTTTCCTTAGTGGTCTTCTCTTACCTAGCTGGTAAATACATCTCACCGTCTTTTTGTTTTGTTTTGTTTTTGGTTTTTTTTTTTTTTTTTTTGTTTTTTG